CGCGGCAGGCTTCGGGCCCTCAAGCGGGCCGGGGGTTTGAAGGTTCGGGCTCTGTGGAGAACTGGTGTCGTACCATCTGGTAGCCACGGTGCCTGCGTCAACGATTTCACTGATGCTACTCTTATGAAGCTCCGCATTTTCCCGGGTTAGCTCGTCGGCGCTCGTAAAGGGTTATCTTCTTTGACGGCCTACACCTGCACGCAGAAGGATCGATTGTATTATCCTACCTTCGACGCTACCTGCCCTTTTGTTCGCTCGCTATTCCACGTGGCTATGGGATGGTCGCACCTCGCCTTCTCAATTGCAGGCGGCGTGACAGGCCATCCATACCCGTCTCGTGCCTACTGGATCCTGGCGCCTGTACTTCGGGCCGACCTCAGCGCTGATCCTCGCCCTTCGACGGATTGGCTGGGACATGGCGGCGGCCCGCTTTCTGCTTTCGGACCGAGGCGAAGCTGTGACTCTCTATGAGCTCTCGCCCTCCGAAGTCCGCGAGTTGGTCCGCGATGGAGTCGAGCGCTGGCTTCGGCGCAGGATACCTTCTCACTGGCCCGAGGCGTCTGGGCCCGAGGAAGTTTGGATTCGAGCGGTGCGTCTTGCTGTCCTGTCCCTCCCAGCTGGTGCCCGTCAGGGGGCGGCGCGTGCTTTGCTTTCTGGAGGTCTCTGGCCCCCCGAGCGTAAGTTTCAGGGCGGGTTGTGTGCGCCTGGGAAGTGCACCTTTTGTGGTGCCGAGCGTGGCACGCTTGGCCACCAGCTGTACGATTGCGACTCGGCTTTCGCTTCGCCCGAAGTTGACGATCAGCAGCCGCCATTTCCCGAGGGAGGTGTGGCAGCGCAGGCAGGACCTTCGGGAACAGGGTATCTCTCCTCTTGGTTCCTCCACTCAACGGCCCCCCTCGTATCCCTACAAGGCTGCCGCCACCGCTCCCTACAAGGCGAAAGCCACATCTTGAAAACCACCCGCCCTCCATCTGCGAGGCCGTTGCCAAGTTTGAAGCTTCAGGGTCATGAGTGGTGAGGAAGTCTCAGGCGAAACGCCCGACCCGCCTCGGGGTGAGGCAGGGAGGAGTTATCTATGAGGGAAAGCTGTGGAGGAGGAGGAGGAGGAGGAGGAGGAGGAGGAAGAGAAAGAGGAGGACGAGAGGGGCTCGGCCCAAGGCCCTGGGGCCAGTTTCTGTTCACGGACTGCAGCGGTATGGCTGGCGCGTGTCCCGAGCGCGTGTTCACGGATTGCTGCGAGGTGTGGCTGGAGCGTGGTGGAGATTACGGCTGATGGCTGGCCGACCCGAGGTAAGCTTAGAGGGCACCCAGGTAGGTTTCAAACCGTTCCCACAGGCGACAGGTGGGCCGGCCTCGAGGCCATTTGCGTGGGCCCCCCCAACGTCACTGTTGCGAGCGATCATTCAAGTTTGTGCGTGAGGGCTGCGCCTGGGACCCCACCTCGAGCGCAGTCTTTCGCGAAACGCCTCCGTATGGAGGGAAATGTTCAGAGCTTGTGAGCGGTCTGGAAGTAGGCCGACCTTCAGCTGGACGCCAGCACACAGGTCGCTGGATGAGCTGGTTGAGGCCAATTCAGAGCCATATGAGCTCTGGCGATCCATGGGCAATGCATGGGCGGACTTTGATGCTAAGCTCGGGGCTAAGGATGTGGCGGTGGCGGATGTTGCCGTCGAGGCTCTGACGAATGAGGTGCGGAATTGCAAGCTCTCGTTCGACTTCCTGGCTCGGGCAGTTCAGCTGAGATGTTCCCGGCCCGATGTGCAGTCGCTTGAAGCCCCACCTCCTTAGACTAAGAAGCCTCCAGAAGATAAGCTGGTGTACGTGCCTTTGGCTCTTGGCTCCGCGGCGGTTTCAGTGCAGGGGCTGTTTGGCGGTGGCTAGGACCCCATCCAGTGTCAAGACGCTGTTGAAGCCAGGAGCCAAGTGTGACTCGCCCCCCATGCTCCAGGCCCTGGTCCAGGCTGTTGAGCATTTGGGATGGAGGTCCCATGGTGGTGGGGATGGGGTGGAGTCTGCTGCCGCTGCCGCTGCAGGTGGGGCGGAGATGGGCGGGCTTCTCTTCGAGTGCGATGGCCATCGCATCCACCGCACGGGTGCATGTTTCTTCTGCCTGCTGTGGGGAGCTCGGGTGGCGGTTGGGTCCCCAAAGGTCGGCGCCCTTGGGACTGTGTGCCCCTGGCTCGCGGACGGTAAACATCCTTCTGCAGGGGCAGTGCTGTGCGCCTGATTCTGATGCACGGATTTTATGTTAGTGCCCTCGTGTGTCTCAGGCTGTGTCTCGGCTTCGGATGACTCATTGTCCTATGGCTCCACTCCGCTCCTCCGCCTCCTTCTCCCTTATCCTCCCTCCTCCTCCCTCCTCTTCCTCCTCCTCCTGCTCCTCCTCCTCCTCCTCCTCCTCCTCGACGTCCCTCCCGCGCCCTTCCCTGGCGGATGTTCGAGGTTTTCGAGCGTTTTCGTTGGTTCCTGGACGGTTTCTCGCCTCGGGAAGCTCTCCAGCAGCTGCGCCTCGCCGAGAGCGTGCAGGGGGTTCCGGATCATCCCGGACGGCCACTAAGCAAGCAAGCAAAGGCCATGCATTTGGAAGGACGCCTTGGCATACTCGTAGTTGCGCCATTGGCAACCGAGTGCAATAATTGAGGCACAATTGTGTCGAACAGTACGTATTCCTATTCATATATTGACCCTAGAGAGCCCCAATACGGTCCACGACGACCCCCAAGAAGCCGTCATACCCCCAAAGATCGCTCCAAAACGTCCCAGGAGGCCTCCAAGAGCACTCCCAAGAAAGCACTAAGAGGCACAATTCTATGATTTTCTATTGGTTTTTGGTGAATTGGGGTGTTTTCCTCTTTTCGGCTCCCCTACGCTCCAAGACGGCGGTCTTCTGGGAGTCCGAGACCGCCTGGGAGGCTCCCAAATCGCCCTACAACCATCCGAAAGGGCTTCCAGGCAGTCCAAGAGAGCCCCAAAACGGCACAACAGGGGTCCAAGATGGCCCTAAGAGAGCCCCATGGCGGCCCAAGATGGCCCCAAGACACCCTCCGAAGCATTCCAAATGAGACCGCGGTTGGAGGCAGGATGGCCCGAGAAAGCCTCAGAACACGCTCAGGAGGCCTCCAGAAGGCTTTGAGAAAGCTTGAAAAACTTCCGTGAAGCACCCAGAGGCTCTCCAAGGAGGAGCCTCCGCAAAAAGAGCTGAGGAGGATGGGGAGAATGCGCAGGGTAAGGAGAAGCATGGAGGAAGGATAACGAATCACATTATTGTAACGGCGATGCCGGAAGAGGCAACAAGGAGTTATCGCTAAATTGTCGGTTTGACCTTCTTGCCATTCCGCCTGCACACCAAATTTCAAGGACCAAGATGCATGGCGCGAAGCGCCATTGCAGTCTTGTGTGTATATATATGGTTATGGGAGGAAGAAGAGAGAGGAGGAAGGGGAGAGACAAAATTGGCACCGAAACCGGCTGGCTGGTCAGAGGTATTGCGTCATTTTGTACACTTCAGATGCCCATTGTTGCTGGTGCCGGCCGCGACGGCGACGAACTGTCCAATTTTGGTGTTTGTCGTGAACGGCCGCCAAGGGCCCCGAAAACCAGGCTCGATCCTGGCCAGGCCCGTCCTGAGGCCACCCTGAGTCCAGATCCGCCGAACTTTGCTCGGATGTCCAACTTTGCGTGTCTGGAATTGCACCCCTAAAGATGCGCAAAAACCAGGGCGGAAACTTCCTCCTCAGAAAAGTAGGGCGGTTATAGCTCCGCACATGCATGGCGGAAACTGTTTCCGCCAGAAACAGCGAGGGTAAAGTACGTGGGGCGGAAATCGATTTCAAATAAACTTGAAACGTAGGGTGGAAATTCCCCCCCCTACTTTCAACATCGCACAAATTAGGGCGGATCCGGAGTCAGGGTATCGCTTCGGCGGGAGCGCCATCGAGCGGCTGCGGCGGCGACTGGTGGCGGTGGCTTGTTAAAGGAAGTCCCAGCTTCTAAGACAAGAGTTCCGGGCGATACGATTTTTTCACACCTGGCGATTTCGCCAGGTTTGGGGCCCCGAGGTCAGGGGTTCGAGGTTTTCGGACGTTTCCGTTGGTTCCTGGACGTTCTCTCGCCTCGTGATGCTCTCCTGCAGCTGCGCCTGGCCGAGAGCGTCCTGGTCCCCGAACGGCCGTTGGAGGCCCGAGCTATGGCCCGAAAACTAAGCTCGGGGGCGGACCCAGGCTTGCGCCCGCCAGGTTTGGGCCTCAGGTCGTTTTCACTAAACCACGTTTTACTAAAGGGAGGTCTGTCCATCCCCGATTGAGACCCGGGCGTTGCATTTTTTTCACTCGGGTCGTTCTTTCGCCCTGTTGCGGGCCCTGGGGCCATCACGGAACGATCCGGCTGGAGGCATGCCGCAGAGAGACGGGGTCCGTGTTTTTTTTTTTATCGTGATTTGTGATGTTCTCGCGTCGTGGGATCTCAGGGAAGAAGCCTTCTTAGAAGCTTTCGGGCCTTTCTGACCCAGACCCCCGACGTCATGATTTTTTCATGACGTCGACCCCCTGGGGTCTCGACCCATTCCCCGGGACCGGTGTTTCGTCCTGAGTCGTTTTTGGACGGTCCCGAGGGCCGGTGAGGGCCCCCAAAGGCCAAAAATAATGAGAAACCTCCCGTCGTGATTTTTTCATAACTCGAGGGGGTCTGGGGAGAAGGCCCCTGTCTTCTAAGAGGCACCCGATTGTGTGCAAGGCTGCCACCCTCGCGCCCCCTTCCCGTGCGCTTCACCAACATCTGGTCTTCGGTGCTATGCCAGAGCTCAGTCCAAGCACACTAGGATGTGATCATTTGCTGGGGGCGCGGGCGTGGTTTCTGTGCATCTACGGCAGAGTGAGACAAAGAGGAAGCGAAGGAGTCTACGGCCATCCCCTTATGAAATCCTCCAGCCGAGGGTGCGTGCAGCTTCTTATCAATTGCTGCTGCCCCTGTGCTGGAAGTAGTCTCGCGCCGGCCGCGCGGCGAGGCCGGCATTGGCTTCGTGAAGGCGAAGACCAAGGAGATCGCCGAGTCCGAGGCAGTGCGAAGCGGCATCGAGGCCCGGATGAACGACGCGAAACTGCAGCAAGGATGGAAAGGAGGGAAAGGAGGTAAGTAAGAGAATGAACAGGAAGGAGAAGGGGGGAAGGAGGGAGGAAGGAGAGATAGGCAAAGAAGGGAGGAGGAGGAGACACATTACGGAGCCAATGTGCCCTGCCCCCAAAGATCAACCCAACCAGAGTCTACGAGTGCGCAACATGCCGCTTTTCTTCGTTGGTTGCTGGGTCTCTTATGGCCCCCATGGGATCGCCCCTAGTTGCTTTCCTGTGCATTTCCGCTCCACCAGGTCTGTGTCTTGCCCTTCCTTTAGTGAATCCTTGTGGCTTCCCCATGGCCGGCCGCCCCGCTTGCCCTGTTCCCCGCACTTCTTCTTGTGGCTGCTTGTCATCTCTTGACGTGGCCTCCTGGGGATCGATTATGGTTTTCCGCCACGTTGGCCCTGTGTATTGCACTCTTTTCCGCGGTGGCTGCTTGAGCTATCATGACTTGGGCTCCTACGTATTCCCGTGGATGGGTGTGATTTTGTCTGTTCATTGCTCCTCATATGGCTTGGCTGCGGTTCTACAGGCACGGATTTTCGCGTTCATGGAATGCCGCCGTCGCCACCGGGGTTCCACATACGTGGGGTTCCACATACAGGGCTTTCCACACAGATGCACACAGCATTCCACCAACACGGGGGTACCTACGCACACACACACACACACACACATGGGTCCATGCATATAGCGCTGTGGGGTTCCACATATGGCTGTCCACAGCTGTTGCACTCATAAGCTGAGGTATGAGTGCAACAACGAGTACCCGACTAAAAAAATGATTGCACTCATAAGTTGCTTGAAGTCCACGTGCTGGCATCATTGTGTTTCCACAAGTGTTTCGGGTAGCCGCTCTGATTTGACAAACAATATGGGAGATCGAGGTCCGTCGCTAGTTTGGTTCAAGCATTTTGGGCTCAATCCCTCCGCCGCTTGTTCAGCTCCAGCCGAACAGTATGCAGTGGTGCGTCCGCGTTGGCTTCATTTTGCCTGCTGCATTGTGCCACAAGTCTGTATTGTTCTTCACGGTCGACGACTTGCGCCCTGAACTCTTCTTTGCCTACGGCCGAAAGGCTGTGTCGACGCCAGCGATGGACAAGTTCGCTGCGTCAAGTTTGGTGTTCGACCGTGGCTACGCCCACTTCTCTGTCTGCGCACCGAGCCGAACAAGCTTCATGACTGGCCGCCGGCCAGACCGCACCCAAGCCTATAATTTCAAAGGCGATTTTCGCGAGCCTGGTATAGGCGCCAGCTGGACGTCGATGCCCGAGCACTTCAAAAACCACGGGTACTTGACGCTCGGGGGAGGCAAAACATTTCATCCCCATTAACCACCCAATTACGCCGAGCCTCGCTCGTGGAGCCAGGATGCGCCGCATTTCCCGCTCGATGAAGATAAGCGCGAACAAAAAGGACACAGCCGCACAGCCAGCCAGTGTTGCCGTATTCGACGCATGGCGACGTCATCTGCACCGTGAAATTTGAGACCGACTTGTTCGACCATAAGATGGCAACCAAAGCTATCGAGCGGTTGCGCAAGGCAAAGCAGGACAATCGTCCTTTCTTTATCGCTGTGGGGTTCCGGCGCCCGCATGTGAATTTGGTCGTGCCCGAGCGCATCTTTGCCGAGTACCAGCGCACGGACCCCAGCCTACCTGCACAGCCAACGCTGCCTAGAGACATCCACAAGATTGCGTGGTCAGACGACGCGTTCAGCCATGCGACGCTAAACTGCACGCGGTACGCCAATGCTGGTCCGTTTGAGGTACCCTTCCCCGACCCCGTCACCAAGGACTTGCGACGCGGCTACTACGCCGCCGTGAAGTGGATCGATCAGCAGATGGGCCGCGTCTTGGACGAGCTCGACGCGCTCGGCCTCGCGAGCTCGACCATCGCGGCGCTGAGCTTTGACCACGGGTACCAGCTCGGAGAGAAGGCATGCTGGACAAAGCACACCAATGTCGAGCTCGCCACCCGCGTACCCTTCATCCTGAGAAACCCGAGCTTCCCGCAGGCCAGAGGCAGGCACGCGGGCGCCATCGTCGAAAATGTCGACTTCTACCGCGCTCTCGCAGACTTCGCTGGCCTGCCAGAGCCAGAGCCGTCGGCGCAAGGGAAGAGCTTGCGGCCCGTCTTGGAGAACCCAGACATCGAGCCCGAGGGCCAGGCTTTCGCAGTATGACTGCTGCCCGAATGCCTCTCGCCACCACAGGGGCACGAACGTCTCTAGGTTCCACGGCGCGTGCAAGGCTGCATCGCGATCGGACATCAAGTGCATGGGCTCCCTCATCCGCACCGACGAGTGGCGGTGCGCGGCATGGGTGCGCTGGAACGGGACGGTCCAGCGCGGCGAGCGGTCGGCCTGCAAAAAGAGTGGCGTGTTCTGCCAGCGCGAGTTACACAGCCACGGGCACGAACATTTGGCGGACTTCGACGGGCTGGAGGTCGCGAACCTCGCCTCCTCTGGGCAGCGCACCCAGACGATCCAGAGCTTGCATCGGCGCCTTTCAGGATCACTTCAACGGTGACCAGGCCGGGGCCCTCTTCCTGTAACTGGCGAACCCCAGGGCGGAATGGGAAATGCATTGCGATCGGCTTGCTTTGGGGTGCCATGCTGATCCGAGGCCCTTTTGGAGACGGCGCGGTGAAAGTTGGCGTCCGTCTTGTCTCTGGGGAGCGCGGCTGTCGAACGTGGAATTCGGAGCCCAATCGTCTTTTGAGCGCCGATCGCGCCCTGACGTGGAATGCGAACAAGAGGGGCGGCGACGGCGGCTGTTGCGGGGAGTCAAACATTATGGTCGGGCGGGGGGTCAACCATGCTAGCTCGTTTGCAGTTTCGAGTTCTTGACGCTTACCCTATCCCCACCAGCCCGTCCAAAAACAGACACCAGGCGCGTCGCACTGATCAGGAATGTCTAAGAGGACGGCGAAGACGACGATGCTGACGACTGGGACTACGACTACGACCACGACAGAGTGACTACGGCTACGAGAGGGGCCCATTCAGGGAGCGACGACAGGCAACCACTCAACCAAAGCAGCCGCAGGCTCCCTGAGCGTTTGATGAGTGGCGAAGTGCGTTTCGCGGTGCCTCGTGGTTATCCTGGTTGGGTGGTTGCTTGTCGTTGCCTGCAGCGCTTGCATTACGTCGCGCGTGTCCGGGCCGCCGCCGACGACGACGGAAGAAATCCTTGGCGATGCCGGACTGGACTGGCCCCCCGCGCCGTCATCTTCGCCCGACTGGGTGCCAGCACCTCTGCCTGGGGCCACCGCTCGTTCCAGGGCGCGCCGGTCGCTCTGCCGGGCCGCCTCGCCGACTGGGCGCACATTGGCTGCCTCAACACTGGGCCCCGCGTCCCCACTTCGCCTGCCGCGCTCATTCCTCGCGTGAGTGGTGGCTCGTGGCACCGCGCTCTGCCGCCCCCGATGGGTCGCTGGCCTGGCTGTCGACCCCCGCCGCGGCGTCCGCCTTGCTTTCCATTCGTTGTTCCGTGGTCGTCGAGCACTTGCACGCCGCCTGACGTGCTTGGCCCTTTTCCTGGACTTGGTAACGTACTTAGTCATCTGCCATTTTGGTGCGCATCGAGACCCTCGTCTGGGCCTTCGTCGGCTTCGGCGTGCACCACCTGTTCTTCAGCGTCGGTTTCGCCTCCTGAGGGGCAGCGTAGCCCGCCCCTGTCGCTTAGGGCTAATTTAGCCCGCTGCCCGTTAGCTACGCGTTGACTTGACGCCGCGCGGTGTGTCGCTACGGTCGCGATCAAAAAGTATCCCCACCAGTTGCCTTGCTCGGCGCGCGCGCCGGCAATTAGGTTACTCGTAGCCCGAGCTAATTATGCTGACGCTGTCGGCCCCTTGGCCTGCGGCCGCGACGGGAAATGCATCCCCACCAGCCCATTCAGAAACAGCTTGCCTGGCTAATAGAAGCGTTGTTGTGAGAGGTTCTCGGGGGGTCCTTGGAGCCATCTTCGGGCTCTCTTGAGGTCCTCTTGGGGCCCTTCTGGTTTTTTTTGGAGCCATGTTGGGGCCATTTTTGAGCCCTTCTTGGGCGGGTGTGAGAGGTCTCTCAGGGTCGTCTTGGCCCCCGTAGCTCAAAAGGAGGGGTCCTCAATTCAGGCCCCCCCCCGTCGGATGCTGAACATTTGCCACTTGGGGCCTTTCATAGGGCGCTCTTGGGACCCTCTTGGGCCCCTCTTGGTGTTCTCTTGGGCCGTCTTGGGGCGTCGCCGTCGTCGTCGTCGTCGTGCGTCGTGCGTCGTCGTCGTGCGGCGTTCGTCGTGCCGTCGTCCGTCGTCGTCGATTATATTCTTAGTGTACTTTATTCGGTTCCTTTTCTACTCTCCTCTTGTCTACTATTCTCTTTTCTGCCCTACTCTACTCCGCCCTACTCTACCATAACGTACCCCAACATATTATATTCGATTCTATTTTGTCGATTATTAACTACTCGACTCCTTCCCTCTTCTAATCTGATCTACACCTCCTTATTCTACTCTATCCGACTACTTTGCCCTACCGTATCCCACCCTACGCTACTCGATTCTACCCTACCTTCTACTCTACTCCCATAATACTTTATTCTACGCCTGCTCTACTCTGCTCGTCGTCGTCATCGTCGCTCGTCGTCGTCGTCGTCGTCGTCGTCGTGGGTCGTCGTCGTCGTCGTCGTCGCCGCCGCCGTCGTCGTCGTCGTCGTCGTCGTCAGGGGGTGAGTGGGTCCATACCTCCCCATTAATTTTCCTGGGGGGGCGGGGGGGGCGGCACACCCCCATTATCTTTTCCGGGGGTGGTCCCAGAGGTGGGGGGAGGGGGTTTGCCAGACCACACAGGTTCTTCCCTGAGTGGGGGGGACCGTACATGGACATTACATTCGAACCCTGTGGCCCAAGATGCCCCCCCGACCCCCCGAAATTAATATTGATGGCGTGGCGACGGGAGGGGGCGTGAGTGGACAGGAATATTCGATTCCCAAAGCACCGCCTTTACCGAGATCAACATTGATGTCGAGGGCGCGGGGGTGATGTTGAATCTCCCTCGAATGTGTGAGGGTTCGAATATATTGTCCATCTACTGGAGGGGCCCCCCTGGTTTCTGACACCCCCTCAGGAGTTTCTTTTCCAGGGGAGGGCGGTAGGGGCCCTGTGGTTTCTGACCCCCCCACCTTGGAGAAAAAATCCAGGCCAGCGAAGGTGGATCGCGCTCTGCCAATGCTTTCATGAGGCCCCCAGGAGGCTTTCCAAAGAGGAGCCTCTGCCGACAAAAACTGACGAGGACTGGGAAGGGCTCGCAGGAGAAAGCTACAGGGAGGAAGAGGAGCTATCACCGAAGGAGACGGAACAAGACATCATAACGACCATGCTGGTACCGCCGTTTGCGAAATAAACGCCCACGTGTGGAAGTACCGAGAGCCCCGCCCCGCGCCCCGCATTTCAATGTTGGCCACCAAACACGCCGAAGGGGAGTGCGAAGCGTTGCGAAATAAACGCCCACTTATGTTGGACTGCCCAGCCCTCCCCGTCAACCTTGAAATACGGGGGAAAGGGGGCGTGCTTCGTCGTCTTGTTTTCGATCCCTGAGATGGGCGTTTATTTCGCAAACGGCGGCATCCGGGCCCTGGTGCCCGTCCGACCGGCTCGCCGCCGCCTGTCGCCGCCAGTCAGCGCCGCCGTCGCCGATGGTATTGAAATGGCCTCCGGCCAGTGCCGCCGATCCGGGGCGCTCTGGATGATGATGATGACGATGATGATGCTGCTGCTGCTGCTGCTGATGATGATGATGATGATGATGATGATGTTGATGATGATGGTGGTGATATGATGATGACGATGACGACGAGCCTTGGTGCCCGTCCGACCGGCGCGCCGCCGCCCGTCGCCGCCCGTCAGCGCCGCCGCCGCCGCCGATGGTGTTTGGGCCCCGGCGCCGGTCCGGCCAGCTCGTCGCCGCCCGTCGCCGCAGTCGCTTGGCATCGCTCGGACGTGTGCATGTTTCCTTCGGCGAGGACCATCGAGGAGCATCCTTGATCATTTGGCGAAAAAACCACGCACGAAACCGAAAAAAACACAGGGAATGGACGTCCGAGCGATGGCCAGGTCGCCGCTGGATCGTTTGGCACTGCAATCGCATTCTGAGGCATCGCCATCGCATTGCAGCCTCATCTCAATCGCATTGCAATCGCATTGCGTTCGTACTGCTTTGCATTGCATTGATCTGCATTGATTTGCATCGCTTTGCAGTGTATCGTTTGGCATTGCTTTGCGCCGCCTAGATTGCACTACATGGATTGCACCACCTAGATTGCACTGCGCAGATTGCGCGAGGTCATTGTTGGGGATACACGCTGACTAACATAGATCCTCTGTTCTTGGGCGTTTAGCAATTTTCGGGAGTCTCCCTGGGGTCTCCAGGGCGTTGCTGTGACCCCAGGAGGCATCCAGGGACCTCCAGAGATTCAAACGTCTGGCGACTCACAACGCTCGCGCAGAAGAGAGGTTTCTGGCCGCACTCCAGTCCCAGGGGGGTTCGAGGCGTCCGGGAGCCATCGACTAGAACGCATCAGGTCGTCAGAGGTTTGCAGTCAGTGCCTCAAAGCGACGTCAGCCTTGGTCTGCGCAGCCATCGATGCCTTATCTCTCGACCCAGGGGCTGCATAAGCAGAAG